GTGCACTGAATATTGAAACATAAAACAAGGTATAAATATGTCAATAATTTGAAGAATGTACCTCTAAACTTGGCACAAAGTTAATGTGAATGAGTTTAATGCATCAATCTCCTTAATTATCAGAATAAGACAGACTCTAGAACTCTGAGACTATTACAAACCAAAAGGATAATGGAAAAAGCATGCCAGGCCTTGAGAGTCTAGTGATTCTAGAGAGGAAAGGGGTTAGGAATATAAGCAAATGTGTGGAAGGAATAAAATAGAGACTCTGATGGCATGGGTAAATAACATCATTTTTCTCTCTGGATGGATATGGGTATTTTTGTGATCTATCTGGATCAGACAAAGCAAACTAAAAGGCAAATTTGTCAGACCTAATTTAAATCAGAGAGATCCTAAAAATTTGTGGTGGTGTATCTTGTATGTATACACTCATACAACTGAAAATCAGATATTTTCATTTGTATAAAAAGTTCTGTCAAGTGACTCTAGTCATGTGACCCCTCCATCCCAGAAACGAAAATTGTCCTGTATTTTTGCTTGGATTACTTTTCTGTTTTACAATTTAATTGGAAAGATAGAGTATATACTTTTTGTGTGATGCTTCATTCACTCAGGTTAATGCTTCTATAATTCATCAATGTTTTGCAAATACCCAGTTTATTACTTTCACTGCTTAGTAATATTCCATTTCTATAATAAGCCACAATTTGTTTGGCTATTCATATGTAGAACATTTGGTGGTTTTGTGCTTGCTAGGAATAAAGCTGCTTAAGACATCAGTGTGTAAGCTGTTTTTATTTCTCAAGTAAATATCCAGGGGTGGAATTGTTGGGTGGTAAGGTTGAAATGTGTTTAGTTTTATAAGAAACTGCCAAACTTCTTTCCAAAATTACTGTACCATCTTACATTAAACATAAACAATGTATATTCCAGTTGACCCACATTTGATATTACCAATCTTTTAAATTTTACCCATTCTAGTGGATGTGTAAAAACCTTGTGGTTTTATGTTTGTCTTTCTCTGATTATTAATGATGTTGAGTACTTTTCAAGTGCTTGTTGATCATTCATACATCTTTGTGATCTGTCTGATCTTTTGCAAATTTTTGTTAGGGTTGTTTGATTTTTTTAGTTATAGGAGTTTTATATTCTGGTTATAAGTCCTTTGTAAGAAAGTTTGTGAACACTTTCTTCCATTTTGTGGCTTGCCTAATCATTTCCTTAATGTTATCATTGGATGAGCAGAAGCTCATCCCCATTCCCACAGTTAATCTCCATTCCCACTCTTCACCCCACACATTTATGTGCAGTGTTTGTGTGGTCATGTTTTCATTTTCTTAGGAGTTGACAGGTTATATGTAATTTTGTTTATTTGTGTTTAACTGTTTTCCAAGTTGGCTTCATGATTTTACATTCTCATACATGAAGATTCCATTTATGTACATCCTTGCCAACATTTGTTATTTTCTGTCTCATTTATTATATCCACTTCAGTGGGGATGAAATGATTTTAATTTGCATTTCCCTAATGAGTAAGGATGTTGAGAATCTTTTCATGTATTTAAGAGCTGTTATATATTCTTTGGGAAAATGTCTGTTCATACCCATTTTTAAAAACTGAGATGTTGGTCGTCTCCTTGAGTTGAAAGAGCTCTTTATAAATTCTGGATATAAGTCCTTTATCAGATACATATTTTGTAAATGTTTTCCCTGTCAGTTACTTGTCTTCATTTTTTAGTGGGGTCTATGGACACATACATGTTTCTAATTTTGACAAAGCCCAATTTCTCACTCACGGACTGTGCTTCTGTTGTAGCATCTGAAAAACATTTGCCTGACTCAAGATCTCCATACTGTCTTACATTTTCTTCCAAAAAAGTAAAACTTTCAGCTCTTTCATTTTAGTCTGTGATCCATTTTTAGTTAATGAATGTTTGAGTACGTGTGGGATATGGGTCTAAATCTACCCTTTTGCATGTGGGTATCCAATTGTCCCAGCACCATTTGTTGAAAAGACTATCCTTTCACAATGAATTGCCTTGGCACTTTTGTTGAAAACAAATCTCTAAATATAAGGGTTTCTGGACTCTTAAATTCGACTTCACTGATGTATATGTCTATCTGTAATAAACTGTCTGACTCCATTTTTGATGTTTAACTGCTGATAGTTTTTAAGTTTCATCAACCCCTCTTCCACTTCTGCTGAACATTGAGGCTTGCTGATAAGTAGGCCTGGATGTTCCCTCCTTTGATACCAGTGAGAAGTACACACCCTGCATGGAAACCCTAGCTCAGCCTCACCCCCTTCCATGAAAATCCCAAGCCAGTCTCCTTCCCTTGTTCTCAACAGGGATTTCAGGACCTGCATGAGATCCATCCTGCTATCCACAATAGGCTTCATTATGTGACTAATAAGCTTTTTATACCTTCTTGGTATATGTATACTGTCATCAATCTCAAATTCCAAAATAAATGTTGGGTGGGGGTCCACCTCACCAATTCAGGATGACCAGAATTTCTAGATAATGACCATCACAGGGTCTTCTCTAGCTTTGACTTGCTGCCTGGCACTGCCGCCTACTAGCGAGCACAACTTTGAATTTCCGCCTGATGGCTCGTGTGTTGTACTAAGCTTGCTGAGTTGTCCCACATCTCTGTTATGGATTTGACTGACGTAAATTAGAAGTTTAGATTATTGGCATATAGGACCAACAGTATGGGATTAAGGACATCTTTAAAATGGTCCTGGGTAGTACATCTCAGCAAATACCTATCTGTTGTGTTTCTGTGAATCATGTTATCTGCATATCAGGATAAGCTGTGACTGACATTAGGCTCAGCAGAATGTCTTATCCTGTGATTGTGTGTATCAGCCAGGAATTGGTTCCCATTCTATAGTGTGCTCAAGGGAAAGACTGATACCCTACATAATACATGGGCCCACTGGGTAGTGAATCATGTGGAAATGAGCAATTATGTGGTATGCTGAGATCACCCTCATAAAAGATGGCTCACAAGGACCCTACAGTAGAATATCTTTAATGCTACCTAGGTCTCTGTTGCCAAAAAAGTACCCATCTCATCCCTGTGGCACAGTCAAGGGGGTAATTCAACAGTTACCCTGGTGGAGGCACCTAACTCTGATGATAAACTGAGTTAAGGTACTCTGGAGGAACAATCTTACTACACATATGAGCAGGCTGGAGAGAGAGGACCTCCCTGATGTACATCTAATATTCACCAACCAGTAAATAAATGAAGAAAGGAAAGAGGGATGGAAAGAAGAAAAAGAACAAACTTGGATACAGAAAACCAAAAAAGAGGTTTAGAATTTGCACCAATTGGAAATCCAGACTTTAATAAAAAATTTATACCTCAAAAAGGGTGATAACTGGCTTTTGCACCACTACTACATCACAGGTGCTGAACTAACTTTATTATCTACTGCTGAAATGAACCACCTGACCAATCTTCATGGAGTTAATCCTGGGGCTCAAATGGTAGTTATTGAGATAGGGACCATGGGTTTAGAGTAGGGTGAGGGCCTCCATAAGAAAACAAAGCAAGATAATCCATTGTGAGATTTGCTTTGGCCTGCTGGGGGGCCCAGTTTATTTTTCTAACTTTATACCCAGGTGCTGCTTTTCTTCCTTCAGCCCTAAACAAATGATTTGCAACTTGGGCAATGTAGCAAGGAAGCCCAAAACAACATAGTAAAAACAGGAAGGATTCCATCTTGAAGATGAGACTGCATCTTAAAACCAATTAGTTAAAAAGTAAGTTTCTTAACAAACAGACAATAACTCAGCCCACCTTGGGAGCAAAGCAGGCAGTCTTGAGTGATACAGACCAGAAAGCTGCTATCCTGGGAGGAAATCAGAGCAGTAAAATTCTTGTAAATAACGGGGGAAGACTAATAAGAAACTTAGTGTTTCTTCAAAGGTAAACATTTTGGGACCACTTAGCAGGTGTACATCCCCTAGCCCTTTGTCTCTTAACCGCCTATAAAACCCCTAGACAACGCACCACCCCAGGACTCTCTTGTCCCCTCCTGGCCTGAGCCAGGAGCTCTGCCCTTTCGCTTTCTCTCTAAATAAAAGCCTCTGCCTTGCTCTCCTACCTTGAGTGTTTGCGTAGTTCATTCTTCGACTCCGCGAACAAGAACCCCAGCATCATTATCACACTATATTTTAAAAAGGTTCCTTCTATAAATTTAGGGCTGAGTTACCGAACACAAACTTGAGGGCAAACATGTATGCCTCACCTTAACTATTGGAGCTATTGCCTAAATTCCCACGGTCATAGCACCCATTGTGTTCGAATACAGAGTAGTGGTCAACAACCCTTTTATTTTACAGGGTATCAGTGGGCGATTACCCTTCCGAGTCCGGCATCACATTACGTGCAAAATGAGGAAAACACTGACTCCGCTCACGGCCGGCGCTGAGGTAGATCTGGAGACAGTCACACACACAGAGATTCTTCTACAAACTCAACTCTAAAGGCAAACCCAGAAAGAACGCTTCACCGCCGGTCACAGGTGAGCTCCTGCGACCTCTGGGATGAGAACACCGTTACAGAAACGGTCGCCCAAAGTCAGCCACAGTCCCTCTCACCTTCACAATCACTCTCACCTTCTCGGCATGACGGACCCATAGTCTGTCCCACAACGACCCACCATCACTGGACGTGATTTAAAATACAAAAGCTCACCGCACTGACAGAACCCGTCGCCCCACAAGTGTGCAGCGACACTCACATACCCAGCGCCACAGCTGAGCACTCAGGCACAGTCGCAGACGCCAGCAGCTTCACCGTTTCCTCACACACTGCCGCCCAAGGTCACTTGAGTGCCCGGGATCGCCCAAGGTGGCCCCCAACGCTGGCCCCCTCAGCCTGCAGCGCAGTGCGGAGCAGAGGCGGGCCTGGGGGCCCTCTGGGAAATGTAGTTCGGCCAGAAGGCAGCGGCGCAAAGCCTTCTGGGGCTGGTGGTTCGGGGGTCGGATGGAAAAGCTGAGTGGCCCGTGCAGGGCGCCACAGCTGGATGTTCCCGCCGCGAAGCTCGGGGTCCCGCGCGCCTCTGTCCCCGCCCCGCTTCGCTCCGCGGGGCATTCTGGGAGGCGCTTTCGCGAGCCTCGGGCCGCCGGGCGTGTTTCCAGAGCCCGCGGCGCGGGGAGGTGAGCTGGGCCTGGCTGCGCGCAGGAGCCGGGGGTCGGGGCCGGCCTCGGGGCCGACCGGCGGGGACGGGGATGGGGACCAGGCGGGCCCCGCTTGGGGATACTGGGTGTCACCATGTATAACTATGCGAGAGGCTGCGGGTGTGACAGGATGTGATCCGTGTGTCACCGTGTGTGTGATTAGGCGCGACTGTGTCTGATATGAAGCTGAGTGTGTGTGTTTGTGTGTAAATGCCTCTGCAGCTGTATGTTATTGTGTATGGGTTTGTGGGGACGCTGCGGGTGTGACCTGTGTGTGTCTGTATGAATGCGTGTGTGACTTAGGTTGGCCGCTTGTCTCTGGGTGTGACTGTTTGAATGTGCATGACTGCAGGTGTGATAGTATGCCCATGACCATCTACCTTTGCAGGTATAATTTTGTGTGAGTGATTGTGACGGGATGTGTGGCCCTCTGTGCCATGTCTCTGTGTGAGAGTGTGTATGACTGTCGGACTAACTGTATGTCGTCATCTTTTTGTGTTAATGCAGCTGGTTATGTGTGTGACCTGTGTGATAGTTCAACCATGTGTATGTGTGTGATTGGGTGAGAATTGGTATGTGTATGTGAGACCAAAGGCTTGTTTGTGTGGGACCTAATTGTGATTGTGGGCACAGCAAGATTAAAATTACTTGCCCAAGTTCACAAGCGACGGAACTGGGACTTGAACCAGGGCAGTTTGGCTCCAGAGTCCTTGCTTTCAATTACTAAACTCTTGATCTTCCCACATGGTAAAAGTGAAAAATGGGGGCTCTGGGTCCTGAGAGTGTTACAGAGTCTTGGCCTGGTTCCTCTAGGACCTTGGAGAAGGTCCTCTTTGGGACATGGGAACTCTAATCTGGGTCTTTTCCTTGAATCCCCTTGTGAGTCAGGACCCCACCTAAGGACATTGTATTGAGACCATACTTAAATTGGCTGTCTGGGGGAGGAAAGGCCAACCTGTCAACAACCAGTCACGGAGTTTGAGATTTTAGCTTTGTCCTTGTCAAAACTATTCCGTGTTTGGTGCTGAGAAAGGTTGACCGATGGGTCTTATCTGAGGTACCAAGTGAGCTAAATTTTTCGTTCTCACTTTCTCAGTTAATGAAGATGTTTTATTTCATTTCCAAATGTGTGTGTACAATCTAAGCAGGAACAAGGGTGGCACTTAATGCCAGGAGTTGGTTAATGCAGGACAGAAAGGTTCCAAGAGATGTATTAACTTGTCCAAGTTGCCTTGGCCTGCTGGAGGGGACATGTAGCCACTGAGTGAAGGAGGGGAAAGTCAGTGATTGTCTGGGGGCAATGTAAAATCTAAGTCTTTAATATCACCTCCTTTTAGAGACAGATGGCTCATCTCAAACTAGGGAAATATTACCCAAGGGATAGAAAGCTATTTGTAAACAGAAACTTAAAAGACAGCTTTTATGCAGATGCTACTGAGGGCTCCCAGGTACAGAGAAGACTTCACTGATTCTCCTGTTAGATTGCAAAAGTTTTTATGGACAATTTCAAGCTGCATTATACTAAGGAAATAACTTTCTTAGAGACTGAGTTGGCTGGTGAAGACTAGCCAGAAATTAGGGGGTCATGTATCCTAAATTCTAGGTCAAACACAACTATGCTCATTTTCAGAATGAAGAGCTATTGGCTCTGAGAGGACAAAAAACATATTGCAAGCTGTATAGCTTGTTACTGATTTGTCATTGAAATTCGGCAGTGTTTGCCTCAAGCTTCATTTCTGAGTAATAAACATAACATCTACCATCTCTGAAAATGGTCCTCTAAGAAATATATGGCATTGGTTTCTCAGGTTATGTTCAGTATTTTGCATCCAGGCATTGTAGTATCTTGAATGAAGATCAGTTTTTGAACCATACTGCAGTCTGACTCATGACTTTTTGTTGTTTAAGCATGCTGAACTCCATTTTCACTTGTCAGTAAAAAGGTGGGAATTAAATAAGATAATGACATATACAACATTTAATATAAAAACACTGATATTACAGGAGACACAGTAAGATTCATTTATTCATTTAACCAACATTTTTTTGAGCACTTAACAATGGTTCTGGCATTATTCTAACACGAGTGATACACCAGTGTACCAAACAAATCCTAGCTCTATTAGTTTTTATACTATTGTTAGAGAAAGACAGAATACAAGGGAAAAAAAAGTAACTTTCTAATGGTGTTAAATGCTAAGAAGAAAAAGAAATCAGAATAAGGAAAAAGTATGAAAGGAAGATTCTCTTTAGATAAAATTTTCAGGAAAGTCCTTTTAATGTAGTGACTACTGAGCACAGATAGAAGTGAGAAGAGGGAGTGGGCCATACCCAGGCAGAAGGAAAAGCAAAAAGGTACAGCCATGTGTACAGTGTCTGAGGGACTGTGAGGAAACCTGTGTGCCGGGGCGGGGAGAGCAAGGGGGAGGAAGGTAGAAAATTAGGTTTAAGGGGAAGCCAGAGACCAGATCATAAACCACCTTGTTGGCCGTAGGATGGGCTTTACATTTTGTTGAGTTCAGGGTAAGTGTCCTTAGTATCATCAGAACTACAGAGGTTAGGTTCATCTTTGGCCTTTTTTCTCAGATCCTGGAAGAGGGGGGGCAGATCCATGCAAGGAGGCCCTGGGGACCGTCAAGGGGCCTATCTTTGTAAGTCTCAGTTAGCAACATAGGACTGGTCTGCCATTTTTTCGTCCTTAACTCTCCCTTCTCAGGACTTTGTTCTCCGAAAGAGAGAATTGAAGAAGAAAAGAGGGATGGCTGTAGGACCTTGTAAAGCCATGTCCCAGGTAAGTTGATGTTTTCCCTTTGTTTCCAGAAATTCCACCTCATCTTTCAGGACTTTCAGACCTCAGAGAGAGTCACAAATAGCCCGTGAGCATTCTCTCTACTTTTCCTCCACCACTATTTGTTCATATGATCCTTTTATAAAACATTTAGTATCTGTTTTCTTCAGTGTTTTTGCTCAAATGTGTGATGGAACAGAATTACCCTCTTTAGATGGGTCATGATGTGTTGTGGTGGAGATGAGTAAACTTGAAATAAAGGATGGAGTGTGATTATCAAGTGCCCTATTAAACTGAGAGGTCGAGCATGGTCTCTCTGAGGAAATGACATTTAAGCAAAGAAAACCCTCAGTGAAAGTAGAGAGTAAGTTTTGTGGAGATCTGGAGAAGAGCTTTAAAAGTAGAAGGAATAGCAAGTATGAAGTCGCTATGGTGGACGCATGTTGTATTCCAGCAGAAGCGGTGAGTCAGCAAACTCAGAGGAAAATGAGCACTGGAGGTCAGGAGAGTAGTTGGGCAAATAATTATACAGGCCTTTGAAAGTCATGACCAGAACTTTGAGTTTTGTTTTAAGGGTAAAGAAGAGCCATTGGCATATTTGTTATTTGACTTGATTTATGTTTTAAAGAAAAAATAGAAAGGAAGCAGGAAGGCCAGTCAGGAGACTGCTGCAGTAAATCCAGGTGGAAGTTGGCAGCCCTCAGGGCTGTGGTGGTGGCACTGCGGCTTGCGAGATTCTGGATGTATGTTGGAGACAGAAAATCTGGAGTTTTATTAGGGATTGGCTGTGGAGTATGTGAGGAAGAAAGAAGTCAAGAATGGCTACAAAGGTTTTTCACCTGGGCAGCTGTATAAATGGCCATGCTGTTTACTGAGGTAGAAAGACAGGGTGGGATGAGAGGGGAATAAAAAATGAGTCTTAGCTATATTAACTTTGACAGACCTGTTGTATATCCAGGTGGGATATTGATTATGTATCAGGAGTCAGGACTGGAGATGTGAGTTCGAGAGTTATTAGTGTACCGAAAGCCACGGGACAGGATGAGATTATCTGCAGGTAGGGTTGTGGAAAATGTGGATAGGAAAGAGGTCCTGGGACTGGGTTTAGGGCTTCCGGCATGTGGAGGCTGACAGGAAGAAGAGGAGCCAGCAAAAGAGACTGAGAAGGACTGATGTAGGAGGAAAACCCCAAATGTGTGGGTCCTGAAAGTCAAGAGTTAGAGGGTGTTTCACACAGAGGATGATCAACTGAATTAAATTCTCCTGAGAGAGCTTGAGGATGCTGAAGACTGAGAACTGATTGTGGGGTTTGGTAACTTGGAAGCTACTGATATTCTTGAAGACAGCTACTTCCTGCAGTGGTTGGGATGAATACATCGTTGCAGTGGGTTCAAGAGAGACTAGAAGGTGAAAAAGGTGAGAATAGAAATGAGTCTAGACTTGTGCTGTCCAGTAATGTCCCCAGTAGCCTCATACAGCTACTCCGAGTTGAGATGTGCTCTAAGTATAAAATAAATGCCAGCTTTTGAAGATTTAGTACAAAAAATAATGTAAAGCATCTCAATAATTTCTGTATTGATTACTTGTTAAAATAAATTTTTGGATTTATTGGGTTACATAAAATATATTATTAAATTAACTTTACTTATTTCTATTTACTTTTTTAATGTGGCTACCAAGAAATTTTAAATTGCATATGTGCATTACATTGTATTTCTGTTGGACATCACAGATCTAAACAACTCTTTGGAAGAGTTTTGTTACTAAGGAGTAGAGAAATTGACAATTGCTTGAGTGAGATCATGGAAGGGAATTTGTCTATTTGTAAGATGGAAGATATTGCATCAGTTAGTATACTAATAGGAATAATCCTGTAAAGTGGGAAAATACTGGTAGTACAAGGGAGAGATCTGATACCTCCTTGATAGTTACAAGGGAGAGAGGTGACAGTGTCCTGGTGTGGATAAATAGAAGATTGGTCTTAAAATAGGAGCCTAGAGTTTTATCCATAGCAACAGAGGGAGGACAGAATATATGAGTGTAAGTACAGATGGTGGGCAACAGGGTGAGGAAGTTCAAAGGGGGACAGGGGAGGAGTTGATGGTAGTTTGAGAAACAGAAGATATGAAATAGTCATGGCGGAGTGGGAGAGTGAATTTACTGGGGAAGTGTAGTAGAGTTGCCCAGCAGTGCTTTTGTGGAATCTCTGGTCACGTCTGAGAAGTACACAGGTCGACATAACTGTCAATGGGGGTTCTGGCAAGAAACTCAAAATGGGACTATTTACAAGTTATGGTCAGAATATAGAACTACAAAGGATAGTGCTAACACCCTTGGACTCTTAACAGCAAAGCAACCTGAGTAACTTTAGCCTTGAAACCAGAGACAGAGAAATCTGAGTGGAGAGGGCCCCTGACAGGCCTTGTGATCTTTGATTGAAGGATGGAGACCACACAGGGTGGTGCTGCAAGGAGGGAGCCAGGGAATAAATACGGTGCCTTGCTCACCTTCCTCCCATCTCTTGCAGGTGGCTGAACCCATCTTAAAATGGGGTGAGCATGGGAGTCTATTAATGCAGTCATTACAGATAAGTCTCCCAGGACACAGAGAAGCATAGGGGCTATACAGAAATTATACAGCACTATTTAGTGCATGATTTTTCTTCCCTAACCACATTCATCCATGTAAATAACCATATTTGATATTTCATTATTTTTGATGAAAAATGAGACTGCACTCTGCAAGATGGAACTCTTGTCTTGTGAAACATTGCATATTCTTCCTTCATACAGATATATTACAGGAAACTTTACCATTTATTCACTGAGTGGCAAATATTTACTGAGCGTTTACAATGCAGCAGGTTTTTTGATTGACACTGGATATACATGAGCTTATAAGGCAGATATCCTTCCCCTCATACAACTTATACAAGTTCAGTGGTATAGCCTAAACTCTTATTTTTAGACATGTTAAGTTTTTTTCCAGTTTTCTTATATGACATTCCAATGAAAATTCTATCTAAATCTCTTCATATATATTTCATTTATTTCTTCAGGATACATTCCTGGAAGTTTCTTCTTATATAGAGTCTAAATTTCAGGCCATATCCTTTTGTTAAAACCTAATTCATGGTTTTCCTTCACTATTCTGACCCATCTGATATCCCGGTTTTAGGAATATAAAGGAGTTATTCCTGTAAGAATTTCTTTATACTTGGTTGTTTGTAACATAAATTTAACATTTGCTCATATACTTTCATGTTATAAACTCATGTTTCATGCTATAAGCTAATTTGTTTCCTGTGTCTATGTCTTTTCCCTTTCACAAAAATATGAAATTTTCAAGGGGTCTGTTTTAATATTTCTCTTTTTCTCAAAATATTTGACAAACCTGGGCACATACTTACTTATTATTTCCCTTGGACCACTTAGAGCTTTGAACTCTGGCAGAATTAATCTATTCTGCTAGGACCATAAGAGAGTACCTGGCAAACAAGAATTTTATTTTTCATTTCAGAGTTTGGTGACCTTCAGGGATGTGGCTCTAGATTTTTCCCAACAGGAGTGGGAATGGCTGGACTCATCTCAGAAAGATTTATACAGAGAAGTCATGTTGGAAAACTACAGGAACTTGGTATGGCTTGGTAAGGATGTCTCTCCCCATAATTCAAAATCTTCCCTCTGGGCGTTTTTTTCTTCCTCCATTGGGAATATCTGGGGTCTGAAGTACTTAGCTGAATTTCTACTTCCTGTTCCCAGGAAATGATTGTAAGTAGTTTCACAGAGTTAGAAAGGAGTGGTTCCCTTTGCTATATATGTATATATATATAAACTGCAGTTTATGGGGTCCTATGCTGGACCTACAGAATCAGAAACTCTGCGAATAGGCCCAGGAGCCTGGGTTTTAATGAGCCCTTCAGATGATTCTGATGCCCATTAAAGTTTGAGAATCACTGGTTTCTGATTAAATAGGTCTGGGTTGGGGCCTGAGAATTTGCGTTTATATTAAGTTCATAGGTGATGGTGCTTCGGCTCTAGCACTTTGAGAACCTCTGCTGTGGAAGAAACTTCACAGTCCTCATCCTCCCTACAAACATTATTCCATTCTCTGGCCCTTCCTCTAATGTCCTTTCTTGCTTAATCTGAGTCTTGAAACAGCTATATAGCAAGTTGATTTGTCTGTCTTTCTGTCTGTCTCTCTCTTGTTCTCATTTTTCTTCTCCTATAAATAGGACTCTCCATTTCTAAGCCCAACATTATCTCCTTATTGGAGCAAGGGAAGGAACCTTGGATGGTGGAGCGAGAGATGTCAGATGATCAGTATGCAGGTGAGTGACGGGGAGCTGGGCCGGGAGGGCTTTTGGAAGGTGCTGGCCCAAGTGGTCATGAGAAGGCTGCCCTGCACTTGAGGAGGCTGCTCCAGGCTTCAGGAAGGGTTTCCCCCTATTTCTATCAAATTATACTCTCTGATACCTCTACCTGTATCCTGAATCTGTCCTTCCCAGCCTTTTTTCCCCCTTTATGTTCAGAATTGTATACATTTCTAAGTTTCTTATTACAGATTTTATTTTTACCTAAATTATGCATACACATTGTTTAGAGCCAGGTAGTTTTACAGGGCTTATTCCCTTTAAAAAGGCAGTCTCTTTCCCTGCTTCCCAGTTTCCCTCTCCCTAGAGGGATCCATTTTCTTAACTTTTGCAGCTTTTTTTGTTGTTTCCTTCATTTCCCTAACAAATACGTGTATGTTGCTATTTCTTCATTGTTTTTCCAGGTTTAGGTTTTTCAGTCCTCATCCAATATCTTCTCACTAAGAAATAAGAATTTAGCACTTTCTTATCTTGAATCCAATACATGTGTGTGCACAAACACACATTTCCCATCCCTTTCATCTCACCAATATCATAATTTTGATTGAGTCACTGTTCAGGATTTCCATTATTATAGCTATTAGGTACTAGTCATAGCCATGCTGTGCATATACCAAGCTTACTTTTTTCTGTGTAAGTTAAATTTTTCCTGAAGTTAATAATTATCTGGAAGGTTTTTGTCTGTTTGTTTACATATATATATTTTTCTTTATATACAAATTTCTAAATTCCCAACCCTCCATCAATTGTGTAAATCTCTTAAGACTCTCAGACACATTAAATAAGCTATTGATTATATCTTCTTGGATAAATCCAGAGTCTTCAGATACGCTTCACTTTGGACAAATGGCTTATTACATCTGCTTGTACTCAGTTAGATTTATCTGATGTTTTCTCATGATTAGATTAAGATAATGCATTTTTCAACAAGAGTGTCATAGAAATAATGTTGTGTTCCTTTCAGCACATCATACCAAAGGATTCATACAATTGATGTGTCTTATTATCAGTGATCACTTGGTGAAGGTGGTGTGTCTGCCTGATCTCTCCATTGTAAAGTTACTGTTTTTCCATTTGTAGTTAATAAATATCTTGGAGAAGATACTTTGAGACATGCCATTTCTTTTGAAACTCTTGCCGACTAATTTTGCCATCCATTGGCCCATTACATCTTGTCTGCAACAATTATTATTTGGTGTTAACCTACTCTTGATTTTACCATTTCCCTTTTATTTTTATATATATTAATCAGGATTGTTCTGTAGCCAAAGAACTGTTCCTTCTCTCCCATTTATTTATATATTCAATTATTTGTTTATGTTTATGGAATCATGAACTTTTTAATTCTCTCTATAAGATAAATAAGAGAAACAAATTTCCTAACTAGGTTACATTAGTTGTATATGGTTCTTTTTTTAGTCTTATTCAGTCAAAATACTGTTTTCCAGTTACTTAGGTTTAGTTCTTTTATGTTCATTTGTTAGTGTTAGTATTGTATTTTGGGGTCCTACCACATCCTAGTTTGTTTTAATTGTGTTTTTTTTGATATCTGAAACATTACTATGCTTCTAAGAATGAGCTCTACACAAATGTCTGTCCTCAGAAAAGTGTTGCTCCCTCCTCATTGCTACTGTCCTGTTTCTGTTTCCTACTTCTTATCCCTTTATTATCAACCCCTTGTAGATTATCAATCTCTTTATTTTCACATATGTCCTCTTTACGCACATACTAGCAGGTATTTCTGTAGCTTCTTGTGTCTGCTGGCATGCTGCATGAAGAGTTGCATATCATAGGTACTCCTTGCACTTTGCTTTCTTCACTTAATTGTACATATAGGCGGTTGCTCCATATGAGTTCTTGGAGATCTTCCTTATTTTTCTAATAGTGGCAAAATGCCCCACTATGTAGACGTGATTCATTCAAATACTCTCTAATGTGTGGAGCTGAGGATGTTTGAAACATTTTACAATTACAAACAGTGCTGCAACAAGTAGCTTTGTACGTAAGTATTTTTGTATTGCTAAGGCTGTATTTACAGAGTAGATTTCTTGATGGGGGAATTGCTGAATAAGTGCATATGTAGTTTTGTTAGGATATGCCAAATTCCCACCCCAAAAAAGTATACTGTCTGCTGTTTATGCTGCTATAACAAATTACCACAAACTTAGTGGCTTACAACACAGATTCATTACCTTATAGCACTAGAGGTCAGAAGCTGAAAATGGGTCTCACTGTGCTAAAATCAAGATGTCAGCAGCCTGCCTCCTTCCAATGGCCCTAAGGTAGAATCTGTTGCTTGCCTTTTTACATATTTTTAGGGCCTTTACCCATTCTTCTATTTTCAACTTTTAAAAATCACTTTGTTTTATTTATTTACTAAGTCACTTTGTTTCAAATGTAGGGTTATATGTAGTACAGAGTTGAGTTTTGCTTTGTGAACCAATCTAAGTATCATTCCAACTTAATAGGTGAAAATCCAATTGCTCTTTTCGATAATGTTTAGGCTTAATTTTATATTGTTTTATGTTATGTTTTCTGATTTTTACAGTTCTTAAAAAAGACTTTCTCATCTACATTTGCCCTCTTACAGCACTAAATTATGTTTTCTACCTTTATCTTGCATCTACCTACCACTTGAGCATTTTGTTTGGGAGAAATGTGGGATTCACATATAAATCAAGTATAAAAATCAAATGAATAATCATATCTGACTTGATTGTTTATAGTTCATAATGTGTGATCAAAACCGAAAGTTTCTGTGATACGACTGCCCTTGCACTGTTCACCATGTAAGAACTTATTCACTATGTAAGACCTTGTTCACCATGTAAGAACTTGTTCGTTATGCTTCAGAAGATTGGAGACTGTTGAGAGTTAGGCTTGGGGTTGATTAATGATTGTGCATTGAGCCCCCTATACAGAATTTTATTGTTGTTAACAACCATTTGATCAATAAATATGAGAGATGCCCTCTCAAAAAAAAAAAAAAGACTTTCACTTATCTGCTTCCTAGACTTTTATGGGTCGTGTAATACTGTAGTTTTATAATAATTAGGAAGATACTTATTTTGTTCTAGTGTGTTTACCTTCATAGTTTTGGTGCTGCTTTTCTTTAGACAGTATTTATTCCTTCTATTACTTCATTAGTCAGCTTTAAAAGCTAGCCTTTGGTTTTTCTCCTGTTATGAATTAGTCAATATATAGGCTTATTTTACTCCCCACCTTCTCTTCCAAAATGTTGTTAATTATATGCTGTTTCCATTGTCAAGCCAATGTAAATTATATAATTTATGTGAAATATATGTAAAATCTGTAATTATATTTACATGTTTTTCTTTCACGTTTATTCCAACCTTTCATTTCATCTTTGCTCCTAGTTAAATATTTTCAGTGTTTTCTACTAGATCCTTTTGCTGAAATTTCTCTAGACATCTCTTAATTGGCTGAAGTTTGTCCTCTAGCAGTTTCTAAAAAAGATTCATGCAAACATGCCTCCCCCCAAGTTCTACCTGTACATAATTCTTCCCTTAAGTTTCTTACAGTATAGTATTGGTGCTGAATATTGTTATGAAGAAGTCTGATGTCTGATAACTTCCCTTTGTGTATAAGTAGCCTTATATTTTGTTCTGGTCTCCTAGATGGTCCTTTCTTTAATTTTAAAGTCATTTTATTAGGGCATGTTTCAGTCTTGACTGTTTTGTTTCACTTTTTCCTGGTCTGTGGGTTCTTTCAGGATAGGAAGTCTTTCAGGAAATACATTTTTTTAATTGGTAAAGTTAAAAATACAGGGAAGTATAGGGAATACCATAACAAATGCCTTACCACACAGAATTGGCCATTGTTAATAGCGTATGTTACTGTAACATGCTTTTACTTTTCTAGTAAAAGAGAGAAACTATCTTAAGTACAGGTTCTCTTTGTTCCTTTCAGGTCACACTCCCTCACTGCCTCTTGCTCTCAGGAGCAGCAACAGTCATGAATTCAGTGTTGTCCTTTCAGTTCATTTTAAAAACATTTTTTCCAAGCATTTATATATCTGTAAAAAATGTGTTTTATTTTCATAGGTAGTATTCTTCACATTTCTGCATCTTGCTTTCATTACATGATGTTGTTTTGAGATGTATCCTTGTTAAATCTATACAAAGTATAATTCCATTCTGTTTTAAATTTTGTATAGTGTTCTATGTTTTGAATTTAGCACATTTTATGTAACTATTTGCCTAGTAATGGCCATTTAGATTGTTTCTATTTTTCGCTGTTTCATGTAGTAGCAACAATGTACGTTTCCATGCCTGTGCCAAAAGAGAGTTTGTCAAGAATTTATACCTAGAAGTAAAATTGCTGGGGCATAGGAGTGCACATTTTATTTTACTAGCTACTCAAATTGTTCTTGAACGTGATTATGTCCATTTACACTTCTACTAACAATGTGCAAGATTTCCTGTTTCCTTGTCATTTTGATATTCTCCAACTTAAGTTTTTGATATTGTCCTTGATGTTGTTTAACTTAAATTTTTGCCTGTAGGATGGAAGAGAAATGCCCTTGAAGTCATCTTAATTTGCTAATCAGATTGAACATTTTTCCAGAAATGCATTGTGCATTCAGTTTTTCTTTTCTGTGAATTACCTGTTTTTAACCCATTCTTTGGAGTAAGGTTGTCTTTTTCTTACTGATTTGTAGAACTTCTTTATATATTCTGGGCATCAATCACTTTTCTATAATGTGTTTTTCTTGTCTTTTTTCAGACTGCCCTTTGCCTTCTACCTTTGTGGTACCATCTCTCACTCTCACCCAGAAGTGTTTGATGATAATGTCAGAGTCACCCATCTTTCCCATTATAGTTTGTGCTTTATTGTAGTCTTGCTTACTAAATCTTCCTCTAACTGGGGTCATAAAAATATTCTCCTGTATTATTTTTAGTAGTTTTCAGGTTCTGTTTTTTACTTTTACTCCTGTA